ATATTTTATATACGCAATGTAGTTTTTGAAATATTTAGATTTATTTTAAGATAATGCTTATTATGATACGAAACTTTTAACACTGTTCTACAGTAAGTCGTTATGGACTTAAAAGTGAATAATAATAATAATAATAATAATAATAATATACTATCTAAATATATTCTATTATAGTATTTAAATATTAATTACATAATAAATAAAATGTTTTGGTAAAAATTAATTCCACCTACCGTATAACTGATAGTGAAATTAATTACTAATTATAAATATATCATAAAATATAATTGTTGATAATATAGTCTTCAGATCTTCTCGGTTCAAAATCTTTTTTTTTGTATCAAATATATTCAATGATTTATCGTTGAATTCAAATTTAACACTAACTAAACTAACCATTGCAGTTAGGTACTTACACTCGACAGTMGACCCCTAATATGTATACAAAAAAAATAAATATTTTTTTAGTTAAAATTGTTTAAAAGGAGTATTCAAGTATATAGGAATAGAATATAGTGGCAGATAAATAATACTCGAGCTAGTGCAGTCGGAGAACGTACAATGTTTATTATATAAGACGACAATCCGTAATGAATAATATTACAATAATATAATCGAACAGAGTCCGGAATCTCCGACAATTTTTTCCATTTTAATTGAAACGCTAAGCTACATTGAAATTTACGATTGAGCCAGAATAATTTTTGGAAACATGATATTAATCGCATCTCAATACTGAGGTACACCGAGTTGGTGGCACAAAAGTTGTTGAAAACAGTCACCAAAAATCTTTTYTTGGCTCAAAAGAATTCAATCTACTATTAGTCATAAAATATTTATATAATTTAATATTGAAAGCATGCATAATATGACAGTAACAAAAAAAATTWAAAAAAATATTTTATTATTGTACTATATCCGCCGTGTTATAATAATAATAATACAGTACAATAATGATAATAATGATTAAATAATATATTAATTAATAATGTATAATAACATAGGTATAACTAACAAAAAAATAATCAGCATTTTATTACGCATACATAAATTAAATTTAAAATAATAATATAAGCCTTAATGATAAAATCTTACAATTAAAATTACTATATCTATATCTATTCTACAAGGCGCTACTAGTTTCTAGTACAATACATTCATAGTGCATTGTAGTAGCAGTAGTCACCTTAAATCTTTTATTATTTCAACCAGTATGTACGTTCAACGTAACATATCTTAAAAAATATTTAAAAACAATATTAAAATATAACCCAAATATAATAGAACGCTCGAATTATTCACTAAGAGTTCCCGTGTACGTACGAATATAATTAATTATTTTCTGTTTAATATTGCATTTATGTCTGGGGGGGGGGAGGGGGCAGCACATAGTTTCTAAGAAAATAATATAAGACAGAACAAAATCAAATAGAACAAAATAARAACCTTAAGATATAAATATAAAAATATTTTAAATATAATATATGTTGTGTGACTTAAAAGTACCTACTTAGCCTAACGTATATCTACCTTAATAATAAACACCAAATTTATATAGAATTTGTGCCATACAGAGGCATGTCTGAAACATGAAACACTCTTATGGCACGACTAAATTTAAGTAGAATTATCCACATTGTCGCTAAGACTAACCAACACCACTACATAAGTAGTTCAAGAGTGTTGGCAAGTTTTAAACAGGTAAAAAGGAAAAAATTAATAAAAATCAAAATCAAAACTATCTAACCTACATTAGACTTACAAATACTATGTTTAAAATTAGCCAAAGAGTACCACATAAAAATACGTTTTTGTGTTAGCACAGGACAAAACAAAATTAAATAAAACTAACCATAACTGACTAACTGAGTTTCATCGCTAAAGATTACACAGCTAAAGTGAAAGTTATCAAAAAATATATAAATATGAGACTAATTTAGGGATCAAAAAACAAGTAACACAAAAAAGTTATCAAGGTTATTTTGTGTACAGATCAAAGATTAAAATTTAGTTTTTACCGAACGTTTTGAACAAAATAATAAATTAACCTAACTACCGAATCACTTTTCCCAGGGGTAGGATAATGTGATTCACTAAAACTTAAATAATATAACTTAAGGATCAGTATATTTTTTATTAAAAAAAAATATTGTAAAAAACAAAGTAACAATAATTGCACTCAGCGACAAAGAAAGGGGCATGTGAAGTTACAATATTATTTATATAGATTTGAAATTAATTTATATTTTAATAATGACCTGAAACACAATAACCCTTGAAACTGGATATCAAAAATAGAGAAAATATTATTGCGTTTATGTAAGCTTGTCTCGTCCATTTGACGCAGACATATGTACTTAAATATAATTAATTATCAATAATCGATAACATAATAGTTATTCCTAAGACTTATTTTTATTAACATTGTTAATATTATATATTAATCCTAAATTAAAGCCTTAACGTAATATTCCTATCGTTTACAATTAATCCTAAACCTTAAACATCAAATTACACACTAAGGTCGATACAACCGTAATGTGGTGGTGCGCGACATCATGTCCTAGACGGTGACGAGGCGCTCTTAACGAATCATTAGTGGCGGTGGTGCGATACGGACATTGGCTGGTGTAGTGAAATTATTACAAATTTTAACCGTTCGATCTATTCGTCGGTGGCGGCAGCGGCTTGTGCTTCCTCTCGCTGCTGTTGTTCTTTGGCTTGTCTGCGCAAGGCTCTGGATCGGATGCTCAGCATGTTGTTCATCACTGTACGGGCCATTATAGATTCGGAAATGCTCTCAGCGAGTTCGATGCCTTTCACCTGAGAGTTAAAATGACAGCAGACATTAAAATATTATAAAAATTCAAAAATTGCAGTGATACTACGATCACGATCGTATATGGTCAGTGGTTGTGCAACTGGTTTTTAAAAAACTTAATTATAGTTAAAGCCTTTAACTTATATTATATTCATACACTGTATAATGTATGAATATAAAAAAATATGAATGATAAATTAGTTATGATATGCAAATTGTTTACATTAAAATGTGTAAATTGTGCTTGTAAATAAAAGAAAAATAATAATAATAATTACGAAGAATTATAATAATATCAGTTATCGAACTATCTGCTCTAATCCTCCTCTTCCATCCACAACTTAACCCACCCCACCGCACTACCACCAACAGGTTATAAGACCATAAAGCACATTTATAAAATGCGGAGTGACAATTGCAGCTTGTACGATACACATTATACTGTTATGGGTTGAAAATCTGTAGCTTACCATCAAAGTGTGTGGCAGGTAACCAGTGGTGACTGGTTCCAGTCCGGTGGTCTGAAGTGCCGATCGGACGAAAGTGTCTGGCGACGGAACCAACCACGAGGTACGCGCAATCTTGCTCATCTTGGTGGCTACGTAACCAGGCATCACGCACTGCACGGTGATGTTTGTGCCGTTCTTGCCTYTGCCGCCGTATTCGGTGTTCAGTTCGCGGCTAAATTTCTCGACGAATTTCTGCACCACGCCATAGAACAACCAAAAAAATCGATAGTTACGACAGTGATGATAACATAATGACAAAAATTCATCAACCGGAGAGTTTATGATAGTAATGATATATCATGTGCCGTCAAGAAACGTGACGCATCATGTAGAAACATTACATATTAATATTCGACGCGTATCATTAGCATATATTTAATATATATGTTATAATATAAGCCGCCCTTGTTCTTGGTTATACGATGAGAAAATTATGGATTCAAAGAGAATTATATTTACGAGTTGCTATAAAACTTGAAAGCTTGTAATGATACCGATCGATTTGTCTTAATCCCTTCCCTCCCCAAGAGACGCACCCAATCGGAAGATTATCACCAAACAAGTAAATTATAATGCTTTAGTCACGCCGTTGATACGATATAACAATATAATAATCTAATACCTAATAGAACATAGAYTTATTATCAGTCTATGTATTAAAATCACTAAACGATGATAACAAAATGATAACAATAATAATAATATACGACAGGCGGCATTTACCTTGGTGGCCCCATACATCGTCAACAGAGGGCACGGGATACGGGACGCGGTGCTTCCTATGTTGATGACGCACCCGCGCTTCCTGTCGGCCATGCCAGGCATCACCAGCCGACACATGTTGACCATGGACGTGATGTTGCACCGGACCATGTCGTCGAACAGCTGCGGTCCCCATCCGGCAGACGAGGCGGCCTTGCCACCGTCCGCGTCGCCGCACCGGTCTTCGGCGGCCTTCAGGAAGTACTCGGGGTGCGGGTACGACAAGCCAACGTTGTTGACCAGCACGCCCACCTCGAGACCGTGCAGCTCCCGGCCCACGTGGCCGTACACCGAGGACGTGTCCGGGTCGGTGAAGTCAGCCCGGATGCACTTGACGCGGCGGCCCGGGTGTTCAGCGCGGATCTCTTCGGCGGTCGCCTCCAGTTTGGCCTGTGTCCGGCTGACCAGCACGACGTCCATGCCGCGACCGGCCAGTTGCCGGGCGTACGCCTTGCCCAGCCCGTCCGTTGCGCCTGTCACAACTTGAACACAATAGCGCGCGAACGCGAACACACATTTTAATCACGCGTTGATCGTTTTCTACTTTTTGTAGTAATATATTAGTTTGACGCCATTACGTGAAGCATATCTTTGAGGATGACTTCGACACGCAATAATGAAACTAAAGATTCATAACGGAAATAATAACGGCACACGGTACAAAAATATATAATATGTAGAAAAATATTTATATAATTTTAAAAATATATATGTATTAGATTACGAGCTAATTTTGAGGATTTTCACACGTTTCACAGAATTTGTTTATATAGGTGACCGCCTCAGGGTGGGACAGTACTTATTAAAAAAAAAATTACAATAAGAAAAAACAAAACCCGATACAATATTGTGTAGTATATAATATTATTATGATACACATAACACGCATACAATACGAATCGACACACTTACGGATGAGGGATGATGTATAATATATATAGGTGTAGGTACTCATATTGGTATAAATTGTTATAGTCTACGATGGACATCACTACGGAAGGTCACCTGCAGTAGCAGAATAATTTGCGGTCGCGGAGCGGCTATTGATTATTCCGTCAGACTTACATCGACAATACAAAAATATACTAAGATGTAACAATAGAATATTGCCTGTTCTTATTCTTTTAATACGCCATATTAATATTAAGAAAAGACTAAACGATTAAATAATAAAAACAAATAAAGCTTTTGTCTTACATAACATATATTGCCTCAGAACTGTACGTCGTCGTTCAAGCTCATCATGGGTAATATAACCCGATAAACATTTATACTCTTCATTTTAAATGAATCCCATGAACAATATAGATTACGAAATTATAGTGTCTAACGGAATATTTAGTTACTACTGCAAGTGCTGGCGATTGAAATTTAGACGTTTGTTTAAAATTAAACGTTAGACAATAACGCAACGTAAAATAAAACTAACCAAAAACTTTAAAAAATATATACTCTCTGTGTTTTTTTTATTATTTTTGATTTTTATTATTTTTTTGCGAACGTTCGACACGAAAGCACGGTAACTTCTGGACCGGAGCGTAAGCTCAAGGCACGCTAAGCGGCCATAATCACCAGCACGGCAGCACACGACTGCTCGTGTCCAACTTCCTAAAGTCGATAAAGTACCAAATGATATAATAGCATTAGTACCTGTTTAAACTGTATTGTGATTTACATAATTATATACTAATTAGTTAGTCTCGTCTCGGTTATTATAAACCCACCCAGTTTACTATTTTAACCAATTGTTTTTTTAGTTTTATTTTAATTAATTTTTTTTTTTTTTTGGTTAAAAAGTAAATCTTTAAGGCCTATTTATCACTTAAACCTAACGGTGCAAGGGTTACCAAAGGCGTCTATCATGCGCGTCTTGGGCACTGGCTTCATATTTGCCAAAGCCAGTAGTCCCGCATTAGAATACCTTATAATGACAGCTGTGTACACCTCTTAAAATTAATAAAATCATAAACCAATATTTAACAGTAAATTAAAATGAACAATATAAAAAGTAAACTTAACGACCAAACATAAAACTGGTGCTTAATCGGTGCGTTTTTTTATTTTTTTTTTATTTCTACCATCAAACATCGCATGGTTATTTAAATTAAATTTTATTTTATTTATATTACTTTAAATAGTGATTAAATTTTTTATTGGCGTGATAATAATTTTTAATTTTAACGTGTTTGTGCATAAGTCTAAAGAATATGCGATTTGTTATAAATTAATTTTCTTGTCAACAATTTCATAGAATTTCGATGTTTTCCGGTAGTTTTTTTAAACTTTTGAATACCTACTAGGTTTGTTTTTTTTTTTTGTCAGTGACTTACCAAAAATAATCAATGTATAATAAAGTTACTATTAACAAATTACCGACGATCTTAGTCAAATTTAAAGTTGAATCCTAAGTGCACCCCACTTTTTCTTATTTTAGAGTCTGTTGCCATTATGTCGATGGATAGATGCCGAAATTGTGGATAGAAGTACTTTATTCTATTTATAACTAATTAATAAATATGCGTTTATTTTTTTCATTTTTTGTATCCGAGAGAATAAATATCAAAGTCAAGCGAATCGAACTGAGGATAGATTGTACGTACACGGGTATAATATTCTACTCTATTAACTATCGAGAAAAACTATGCGTTCTCCTTCTCCATACATAACAAATAAAAATATTAAACAAAACTAGATCTATTACACTTATACATTTCTTATGATTAAAATACATATTGATCAATATTTACAGTTAATTTTCGTAGACATAGCCCCGTCCACTATTGCTTGTTGGGCTGATGCTCGATATCTGAAGATGACCACGGTTTTAGTTTTTGCTCGTTCAATTGTGAATTACTTTTATTACAGGATCGCTGTCCTTATGTCGCCAGATTCCTTGCGAGGCCGCCACCGCCTACAGTGATGGTTGACAAATGACAACACATCACCGGTGGCGGCGGCGGCGGTGGCTGCAGTGGTAGTTGTAGTGGTTGTCTGGAAAGTTCGATTGTCAACCACACAAGTGTTGATGGTGTGGTCGGACCTCTGCGACTGTCCGGAAAGTTGAAGTAATGTGAGTGCGACCGACGATAGCGTAGCGGTAGCGTCGTCGTCAGTTAATGCACACTGCAGGGTCGATGTGAGCGCTTCTGGTGGTTACGATCACAAATTAGGTCGCCCGGCAGTAGCTCCGGTACTAGAACTAATATTGGTGGTGGTACTGGTGGTGTTGCGGGGTGAACGTCAATCAGACAGCGGTGATCTCGACCTCTTCCGCTGCTCTTGAGAAATGATGCGCGTGSGACTGCCTGGCGGCGATGATGAACTAAGTCGATGGGACCGACGATGGTTACGAGTCCGACTGCGACTACGACGCTGGACTCGCATTACTGACGGCGCCAACAGGTTGCTTGTGATTGCATGAGATGATGTTGGTGTGTCGGACGACAAACTGTTGGTTTCTACTATCTGTTTACTATTACGTCGGTAGGGCTGCTCATCAGTAATACAAGATGCTGGGTCATCAGGYGCGGGGGCAATGACAAAGATAGGTGGTGAGGGTTGGTTTGATTTTCTTACTGTTGATTCATACATTTCGTCTAGCCCGGCCGAAGAGCTTGGTTCTTGTTGATCTTTCAGATCGTCATCATCCAACAGCCGGCAGGAGTCGGGGCGATGTAGTTCCCGGGTTGACTTTTGAGACTTAATCGTAGAATTCTGATAAACAGAAGAGGATGCGCTTGGTGGTGGTTGTGTAGTTTTTATCCGTCTAGAGACTATTTCATTAATCACAAGTTCTGTCTGCCGCACTCTAGTCTCTACAGATTTTGACAAGGCCAAAGCAGTTGATTTTACTTGATTAAGAGGTACTGGGTGCGATAGTAATTTAGAAACTGAGTCCAATGTTTGCTGTAGGTCATTCATCATATTATTTTTTCTAAGCGTTATGTATGGATCGTCATTCGTATTGTCTTTCACTACCGATATATCCTGTTTTTCTTCTCTTGCTTCCTCCACTAGTCTTTCAATAGGTTCAGCCGTTATTTTATTTAAAGTTTCAGCCATCTTTATAATACCGTCAAATATTTCAATATGGGTCGATGATAAAGRCTTTGTTGTCGCTGCGATTGATTGTGCAATTGAACTCAAAGAACTGTTTCCAAGCGGACTGTTAGGTTCCTGAGTKGCACTATAAATGCAGGGCCGAAGCGGTTTGATAACTTCAACCTCATCAACCATAGATTTTGATATGGGATGTTGGGTATTATCCTTTTCTTCCTCAAAATGTCCCGATTGTGTTGATACTAGACATTTAATATCATTGTTATAAAATTCGTGATGGATAACTTTAAAACGATTTCGTAGCCGTTGACGCCGTTGCAACCGCTGCATACGTCTTTTATATTGGTTATATGTATTATAATGATATGGGGCATGTGACCGGCGTTGTCGATGTTCACTGTAGTCATTTATTACAGGTGATGTGGTTAAAGAAAATTCAGAAGTACTTGAAGACTCAGTATCGCTACATTCGATATCTCGAGCTATAAAATCTAACTCGTTAGATTCTATTTCTCCGTCTGGTCCTCGAGTAATTGGGATATATTCATCTTTAGTAATTAAAGTGTTCGCCCATCGCATGTATTCAGTTCTTGGGTTGAAACAGTCATATTTCAAGTCATCGCTGAACCAAACYGACATAATCTGATGAGAAGTTCGTATGGCATCAAGATACCGTCGCCGCAGTGACTCTATACCACGTAGATTATGTTCTTCATGCATGGGTCGTGCTCTTAGCAACTTGTTGGCTTCAGCTGTTCTCCTAATATTTCGTTTACCGCTGAAAACACTTTTTCTCTTTTTTAAAATTAATATTTGTTCATTGGTCAGATCTTGAATATGATAGTTAAGAAGAATATTGATTGCTCGTTTCATTTTATATTTCAACCGACGATTATACCGATCCAATGATTTCCAATTAATTTCATTTTCTTCATCATTCGAATCAAAAATGATTGAACTATCCTCGTCATTTCTATTATAAGWTTCATTATCATCATCATCATCACTAATTGTGATTATAGATGTTATAGGAGAATTCAAAGGTGCGTGTTCAATTTCCTTCGGGGGATTTAAATTTGMTAGTGGTTGCTGTGATGATGATGCAAACGACGTTTTTTCAGTAYCTATTTGCGACTGTGTGAATTCTTTGTCTGCATTCGTTTTTTCGAAGATACGGTCCATATTAAAATCTTAAATTTAAATTGCACCAAACATATAATATTACAATAGTGCTAAATAATAATAATAATAATAATAATCATAATAATAATAATAATAATCATAATAATAATAATAATAACAATAATAATAATAATAACAATAATAATAAACCTTTATAGTTACGTAGTCAACAGATGAACTTTGATGTCGATTTTGTGTCGTGATACTATGTGACTGTCTTTTACACCGTAATATGTACAAT